CTTACTAATTTTTTTTATTTATTCCATACTCATATTAACCAAGTAAAAAATTTTTAAGCAAAATAATAAAAAATATTTAAAAATTAATTAAATGTTTCAAATTTGGTTTGGTGCAACTTCGGCTGCAAAAATAGAAGCAAAATAAATTTCCAATTACACAAATTTTTAAAAATTCATTTCACTTTTTTTTTTAAAGCTCGTCATATAAATCATGTTAATACATATTTTTTTAAGATCATCATACAAATCATGTTAATATCAATTTTCTTTGGCTCAAAAATGCCCGGACAAGCCATTGCTACTGCCTGTTCAACATGCCATAGCACATACTGTCGCACTCACACTCATTGGAGCTGGCCAAATGCAAAATGCAATGATGTTTGTACATTTCTTTTGAAATTTCACTTCAAAATTGTTGCTGCATTTATTCTTCATTAATTTTTTTTGTTCGCATTTATGCATATGGGCGTACACTATTTATACATACAAGAATATATGTGCTTAAAAGCTATAATCCATATACATGTTTCTTTTTTATATTCTTAATATAGTATGCTTAGCTATGTTTTAGTTATTTTTTTAATTACACTAATAATGTATAAACTAAATTTGTTAATATATAATATGTTCTCGACAACTTTACCTTTAAGGTTCTTACAGTTCTTCTCTCCATTTTCTAATGTTTAATTCTTAGCTTTAGCTTATTATTTAAATGCCACTAGTTAGTTGAGAAGAATTGCTAATAGTAAGAATATGCTTTTTACAGATTTACTTGCTTTTATTGCATTTTGCTTCTTTTTTTTCTCCTCTTTGCTTACACACTTATGTTACGTACCGAAATTTATAATATAATAGTTAAAGATGGCGTGTGTGTTTAGTTGAATTTGGATTGTGATTACTTTTTAGTAGTTTTTCGTTTTTTTTTTTTAATTTAATTTAATTTAAATTTTTTCGAACAGCATAACACATATACACAATTTAGATACATATATCAGTTCTTAGCACATTCGCACGACTTCCTTTCCATTTACTCAAAATTAGAGTAGTTTTAAAATTTTTTTTTAATATTGTATAATAAATCGAGTTCATTTTTGGGTTGTTGGAAAAGGAGTTTGCACACAAATGTATGAATAAAAGGATTTTGCGTAGATTTTGGGCTTGTGAGCAGAACGCGAGATTTGACAAAACAAGCTGTGGTTGCACCTAAACCATAAAAAACTTCAAAATTAAAAAAAAAATTTGTTTTTTAAAACACAAAGTTTAATTTTTGAAAAAGAAATTTTAGAACCTTATGTTACAATGCTTTCAGCAACTTACATTGCTTTAGGTTTAATAATAATGTTTTTTAGAATTCTGCCCACAATCACTTTTTCTAACAGCATTTTACGCCTTGCAATTCAACAGCATTTCACAACAACAAAATATCATATTAATTAAAAATATAAATACGAAAATTTTTAGTTAAAAGGTGACTGCTCACAGAACATGCTAAAATATTTACAAATTTAGCCACACAATCCAGCCACAACTATAACGCTTATGGACCGCGGGCCAAATGAAGCAAGTTTAAGTTGAAAAAAACTGGAAATTGTTTGCTTTTAATGTATGTACATATTTATGTACAAAGAAAGTGTGCAATCCCCATTTTCTTCATTAATTTAAACATCAATATGATGTAACTAAGGTGAATGCAAACTTCTTTAAAATTTACTCAAAATTCTCGTGGCGCCGTCCAGCTTTTTTATATTTCCCAGTTTTTAATATATGTGTTTTTGTTTCTTATTTTTAATGCGCACTTTCTCGTTCGCAAATATATACTTATTAGGGCTTTTCAACCATATGGTGGACTGTATACTAAATGGCCGGCAAATAACTATGTGGAAGGCAATCATGCCATTGCAAAATGGCGTTTACCCTCACTGGGATGGACTAAGGGAGTTTTTTTATTTCGTTACAGTTGTTGTTGTCGTCAATATTTATATATGCTGAGCAAATCGCATGCGGTAATTTATAATGAAAAGTTAAATTACACTTTGCAACAAAACACAAGTTTTTTCAAAACAGTGTTCACCATAAGATTATGCTCATTTGATGTGGTGATTGCATGAGTGTGTGCTGTTATAATAATTTTTATAATAAGAAAAAATTATGATTGTAAAACTATAAAAAAATATGGAAAATTTGGAATTTTAAGTTTTCCAATTTTAATTCTTAAAATTTTCAAAATTATGTTCAAATTTAAAAAAATGTAATTATGATTCTCAAAATATAAAAAGTTTTGTAAAAAATTGTGAATTTTAAGTTTTTCAATTTTTATTTTTCTAAATTGTCATAATTATGTTCACATTAAAAAAAAAAGTTAAATTGTAATTTTAAATTTAATTATGATTCTATAAAAATTAGGAAAAAAGTGAATTTTGAGTATTCAATATTTATTTTTAAACATTAAAAAAAAACGTTAATTCTGAATTAAAAAAAAATTGTAAAAATTTTATGTTTGAAAAAATTTAAGAACATCGATTTTATCAATTTTTATTTTTTATAACTCAGAAAATAGGATTAATTTTTTAAGAAATGGAAAATTTGTGATCATTGAATTTTTTACGAACTTTAAAAACCATATAAATTTAAAATTTTTAAAGAATGCATACATTTCGCTGTATTTCGGGTATTAGAAGCGCAGAGCATGTTTCAGAATTTTTAAATTTTATATTTTTAATTAATTTGTATCTTTTTTTATGTATTGCAGAATCAATGTGAATTGTACCCACACAGTTCAACCTCTTAAAATTTTGTTTATAATTTTTCATACTCAACTTGCTTTAAAATGAGAACAAATTCATAAAATTTCTTTAAATTCAAAAAGTTTTGCTTAAACAAACTTCAAACTTTCAAAACTTCGACTTGAAATATATACGCGTTCTTCGGATATATATTTATTGGGTAATTGTTAATGAAATTAAATTTTGACTCAAAAACGACTATTATTTTGGAAAGCTATCATTTTGTCAAAAATAAAAGTTTTTACTGGTTCTTCAATCATTCATCTTTAACAATAATACATTTTCTTGGATTTTAGATTTTCTATAATTTTATACATGAAAACCTAGCTCACCGCCAGACCATTTTTTCAGCGATACCTCTCATCAACTACGTGAACAAGACAATCCAAAATTTTTAAAAATGAATTGCTAATTATTAAAATACTTGAAATTCTGTAATTTTTTATCAACGTATTAAATCAAAACCGTCTTCAAAAACAAAAAAAAAAAGGTGCGCTTTTTTTGACTGCAAGTGAATATAATTCCTTAATAGAATCATTAACTAAAATATTGCAAAATTGTAACGAATTTTTGTTTCAAATGAACTCAAGCTCAAGTAAATAAAACTAAATAAGTTTTGTCGGCATGCAATTTGGTAAAACATAACTCTCAGTTTGCTCTACAAACACTTTTACAGCTTTTCCGAATTTCCATAAAGTTTTGCAAGCATTCAACGTTACTTCATACGATATAATAAGTAATTACACCCTTATGGGCTTGGCCACAAGCAGCACTTTTCAGCGGCCACCACATCAAAGCAGTATAATCTCATGCCCACAACTGTTTGGCATTGTTTTTGTTGTTGTCACAGCAGCTACATTATATTAGTCTCTGCAATTTGTAATTACAACAATTAATTAAATCATATTTAATGTTATGGTTACGTGTGTGGTTTTCAATAAATATTTTTAAAAGCGGTTTAACAATTCATACATATTTAAAACTTTGACAATTAAACATTGAGAGAGAATTTATTTCACAAATTCCTTTTCAATGGCTGAACTTATAACAGCATTTACAACTATTATCATAAAGTATATGTATGTATGTATGTATGTATATTATRGTGTGCTTTATTTCGCAAGTTGACTTACATTTTTTGTCAACGCCCACTAATGTTACAGTTTTTGTCCTCAAAGGAGGCTCCAACATAAAGAAGCTCTTTATTTTCAATTTGAATCGTCCAAAAATCTTTTTTCTTATTCTATACATTTTGCAATGAATTTCTTGTGCTTTTGCAATACAATTTTTATCTCCAAAACAAAAAACCAACAACCTTAATAATGACATTCTGATAAACTCTACAAAACTCTCTCTCTCTCTCTATTCTTTCTGCTCTCCCTACTACTCTGATATACTCTACAAAACAGATTTTCATAATATTTTCCTAAAATAATCCTTTTAAATATTATATTAAGATTAGTATCAAATATATTGCATTCATGTAGTACACCATGTCGTATGAGCAACGCAGAAAGTATACCTAGCATATACATATATGAGCATTCATATCTCAGTACATTTGATGTATAACTGTCTGTAACTTTTAAATGAGGGATTTTATGAAAAAATTCATTGAGAACTTTTTTGTAGAGCGGGAAATTTTGTATTCGAAAATTACCTTTTTAAAGATGAGGATTTAGTAGCTTAATGCAAAATATCAAAAATCGCATGCTGTATACAAAAGAAAGAAAGTAGCTACGCTTTAAATTAAAAAAAAAAGAGCTTGTTTACATGCCAACCATTTTTAGAGGCAAAACTGGACCAAGCAAGCGTTCGAACAAAAAAAAAAAAAAAACACTTGGAAAATAATGGACACCCTAATGTATATATCATTGGTAGTAATCATAGGAGGTGTATCTTAGGTTGTATACATATTTACATTTGGCGATACGGAACTGTGTTTGCGTATAGTTGCGTTTGGTAGCAGTGTATATATATGTGTGTATGTGTGTGTTTATGTGTAGAGAAATATAATATAATACATTTGTATAAATGACTCGGTATTAAAATCGGTTCGGGTTTTGGTAAAACGAAAAAGTATAAAGAAAATAACTATAGTGTGCTATATTATTACTAAATATTAGCTTGTTGGCTGGCAATATAGCCTAGACAGGGTCGCGTCCAACCAATGTTCATTTTAAAAGAAAGTGGAGAACTTGCGCCTGTTGGGCGTATTCGCCGCCATAACTGGCACTGATGCGTACGCCGAGGGTTCGGCGGCGCTGGCCACAACGCTTGCGCCCTTTTTGCGCGCATACGCTGCAGCCGTTGCCGAGATGGTCACCGAGGCGGGTGGCACGACAACCGGCACAACCACGGGTTATACGGAAATCTCGTAATTCATATCGTAGACGCTCGCGCGCTCCGGTGTCGGTGTGGTGGTGCGTGCGCCGCCCACCAAATGCTGTGCACCCGGTCCGCCAACGGCTGATGCCGGCATATTGCCGACGCCGCGACCCTGTTGCTGCTGCTGTTGCTGCTCGAGTGTTTGCATTTCCATCGAATCGGTCATTTCGAGTGCGCGCACAAATGACATGGGGCGCGTGGGTGTTTGTTTTCGCTTCACTTGCGGCGATGGCTGTGTTTGCAATTGTGTGACGATGCCGGCGCCACCGCCAACACCGACGCCCACACCCGGCCCACTGGGATTGGGTGGAAAGACGGCTACGCCGCCTCGCAATTGCGGCTGATAACCGCCGACGGTCGAATTCGTTAGCGCCTGTGATGTGTGCACGTAGTTATTTGGCTGTGAAGCGACGGGATTGCCGACACCGTAACGCATCATATAGGTTGGCGCGTTGGTCGAGGACGATGTCGCTGGCATGGTTGTGGGGCTGGTTGGATTAGAGCGATATTGCTGTTGCTGTTGTTGTTGCGTAGCTGGCATATATTCGCCTGGTTGATGCATGCGCGAATGCGTCATGATCAATGGATGCGACTGCCCGCTGCCGCCGACTGTGATGTACTGTGCGTGATGTATGCTATTGCCCATTGTGCCGCCAGCACTGCTGCCGATGCCCATGGAAGAGGGTGGCATGCCACCACCACCGCCGCCGCTAGCGCTGCCACTACTGCTACTGAAACCGGGCGATGTGTCCTTCCACATGTACACGCCGCGCTGTGGACTTCCGGCCAATTCGCGTATATTGTCCACAGTGTTGTTGGAGCGCGCATATGAAAGCTCATTCGCGCCTTGGCGTACCAGTTCACCTTCGGAGAGGAATCGGCGCTGTGGGCTTCCGCCGTAGGTCTGCGATGCCAACACTTGTTGTTGGTGATGTGTTAGCGGGACTGTCAATATGTCATAAGGGAGGAAAAAATAAAACAGAATATGTTAGTAATAAGTTAAATATGCAGCAAAGATCCCTAAAAAGCTACTTAGGAATTTTCGGGGAAAAAGGAGTGAGAAGAATGTCAAAATGAAGTTATTATTAAAATATTTCGTATTCAAATATATCAAAATATAAATTTCTGTTTGAAAAAAATGATGAACTTCCACATCGGGACCCATACGTGAGCGAAATTTCCACACTAAAACCTAAAAGCCCCTAACAGTCGAAACTCTTGGACTGAACCTCTGGACTAATCCTGATCTAAGGAAGGGCCGCCCAGGTAATGTTAATCGTTTTTTGGGTTTCCAGGGTATATTCTACATCAAATACCTCGAAAAGTGTAAAGCAGTTGCAGGGCGCTACTTAGCCGGATTCGACGCCAAGTTTGCTGTTGTTGTTGCAGTAATGATTAACTTCGGTGGTAAGACTCGGTTTGGTTATCATCGAAGTCATCTAACGGTAGGCCCAGAAACGCGCTGTTTCGACGGGTCGAATCATAGGTAGAGGGTAGATAGACGAGTTTAATTTGCAGGTCATACAAAGAGGGTGTTAAGAGTTAGGCGGAACTCATTGGGTACATATTTGGTATGTCAACGTCGATTCTGGATAAGTAAGAGTTTAACCTGGTACAGTATACAGAACGAAGTTGTGCCTTTTGAAGTCTGGTCGTCGTACTGTTCCATGTCATCGACCTAATCAATGTAAGACCTCTTGATGTTCCGAGGAGATGACTCCACTTCAATCAGACAACTGCAGGGATGGTGTCTGTGCTTTATAAACAATTTATCATATAAAAAAGAAGCTTTTATTAATCTTTTTAGGATTCAAGAAAGATCTGGAGGCTGCAATCCACAGTTCTTGCCCCTCAGTTCTTGAATGGAATTCAAGAAAGGAATTTCACAATTTCTAAGATCTACTGAAAAGCTTGAAGAAGTCAGCATTAGGAAAGATGCTAGGCTAAACATGGCTTTTGAGTTGGAAAATAGATATCGTTGGAATATTTTTTACTATTTATGTACATATGTTTATCAAAATTTTCTTACAACTAAAACCTCTCACTCCTTTTTCCATGTAGAACCAAAAACCAACGAATTCTACAAAGGTAAACACGCCATACATACGGTTTCAACATTGTCTTAAGGACTTGTTAACTATCTATTTATAATGTCTTGTATCTTCATTTCGTCTTTTCCGATTTTTGGTTGATGTCGATTTCGATTTGGATGTTTTAGTCTTAAAGCCGCTGGCCAAGGCTAGCAATTTCTTACGCTTCTTCTTACCATCGTGCAGCGATCGCTTGCGACCACTTTGTTTCTCACCTTGTTGTTGTTGTTGCTGCTGCTGTTGTTGATGCTGTTGCATCATGGCACGTTGTTGTTGTTGCAACAGCATTTGCTGTTGCTGCTGAATCGTTGGCGGTTGTGGATGCTGCGGCGGTAAGCCGGTCGTATACTCGTAATAGGTCTGTGACGGCTGCTGTTGTTGTTGCTGCTGCTGCTGTGTATTCAGACCAATGAAGTCGGGTCGTCTTGGTTGGGTGGGCGTGCCAGGATTGGATCTTTGCCGCAAAGTAGGCAGTCGAAGTGAATTAAAAAGAAAATTCGTTTATTAATTTCTTCGTTTCGTGTAAATTTGTGACGAACATACATCGTTCAAATAGCGATGATTTACAACAACAAGCATTAAAATTCACGGCAATTCAGGTTATGTAGATTGACAACAGTTAATTAGTTGAGAAAATCATAAATATGAATGCATGTACATATGTATTTGTACGAGTATGTTTGTATGTAAAAGATGAAGTTCGAGTGGAATTCGATAAAAAAAATAAATGTAAGAGTTAAGTTTTCGTTACGCAAAATGCACAACAAGCTCAGATAATTGCGATGGTTTAAAGATAAATACATGACGTATGCAGTTTTTAAGACACGCACATAACGGTTAAATACACATTAAAAGAATAGAGAAGTTGCTACAATCAATACAGTAACTGTAAATGTGCTGAAATTATTAATGTATGTACTAAGTTAGCGCCATGAAATCGCAGTAAATAACGGTATTTAATAAATTACTCATTGCATTAGTCATTCACAAGTCTAATTACAGCCATAATGCACATTGCAGGAGTGCCGACAAAAAAATTTTTACATTGCAAAGATTACACTACACTTGTTAGCAAACTAAATTTGTGAACATGAGCACTTCGGTTGCGACTTAAAAGGACGAACATTTACGATCTTATGTAGTACACCATGTCGTATGAGCAACGCAGAAAGTATACCCAAATGAGCATTCATATCTCAGTACATTTGATGTATAACTTTAACTGTCTAAAAATTTTAAATCTTAAATCTTATTTTTAAAGAATTTATAGCTAATTTGTTGGAGAAATGTATTCAATACTCGCTATAAGAACACACAGCTATGCTGTACAACTAACGGTTGTTTGAAACAACTAAGACTAAACATTGGGTCCTAATTGTAGAAGAAAAAACGTTATGAAGCTATGATATCTTTCACAAATTAAAAGGTTTTTATACAAGAATTTGCCTTTCATCGCTCAGTTTGTTTGGCAGCTAAATGGTATTGTGGTCCGATATCGGTTCCGTTCTTGGGAAGAAAAGGCCGTACTCAAAATTTCAGATCAATATCTCAGAAGGGTTTCGCTTTTCTTCCCAAGAAACTGTTCATTTGTCGGAACTGTCGGATTCGTGATGGCAATGGTTTAAATCTAAAGGCAAGTAGGATTGAAAAATTCAAATCACTCCACACTGATCGGATCGGTCGGGCACCGGACCCACAGCATGGCAGAGCTTTTAGATCGGCCTCGAACTCGACCAAGATGGAAAAGGTGTTCGTTCTACTCGACCAATTGAAACCAAAAAATTCTTGCAAAAAGCAGTATTTGGGGCACTGATCAACGCATTGTATTGATCTATGTGCTTTAAAAAAGCACTGTGAGGTTAAACCGACTTCAGCAGTTAGGCAGGGTACTCACGTAAATCATAATAATTTTATGTGTCCGGTCGTCTGTTCATGCGACAGAAATTTATAATTTTTATTAGTATTGCAAAAAAGTGAAGTCGGATCACTGCCACTCCCACCAAATTATATCGAAAACTATAAAAAGTGTTAAAAAGAACATATTTCAAATTTTGAGGCGAAGTATGACAGCCTAGCAAACTGGACCAAATGAAGACATAACCTCAAAAATATAAGATATAACGGTATTTTTCAAAATTATACAATAAAATTTTGTGAAAGAAAATTGTAGGTTTTTTTTCTGCCAGTTCGGAGAAATGACACTAGAAATAAAATATACCCAATGTATTAAATTAAAAGTTCAAAATTTGAATTACAATGGAGTCCTCTCAATAGAAAATCGACCGACAAAATAAACGAAACCGACGCTTACTTCCTATTTCGAATAGCTCGACTTCACAAAGCTTACAGCAAATTATACACATATTTGGTAATTATCTGTCGAAAGCGGTTGAAACCGATACCACTCTCTAGCCCCTTATACTATATAATAAATTTCCGTTAAGCACTTAAAATGATTCAATGATCAGTCTTGGCGAATCAGAATCAGCCTTTCGTGAAAAAGACTTAGCTACAACGGTTACCTGGAATTGGTTACCAAACGGCCGAAATTTTAAGTTTTATACTTTAAAATATAATTTTAAAAAATTTTCCATTTTTTGAAGAAATAAAATTATTTTTTATTTAAAGCATATTTGTAGAAAAGTTTATAAAAGTAAGGAGTAATGGAGAAATCCTGTTAAATGGTATATATATATTGTAATATGGTGGCGTAATGTTCTTGCTCTTTAGTTTTCTGCAATTTCATTTAGGGATTTATTAGATTTTGGATGAAAACAATTATGCTGTTAGGCGCCTGCGTGAGTAAGCAACGTAAGGTGCTGTGCAATACTGAACTCAGACCGTAAAGCAGCGAACAGGTGGCCACCAAGGGCAGCAGTAAAAGTTTGGTACGTAAGCCGTAACGGGACGTATCATCGAAATTGCACAACTCCCATATGCTAACGTTCGGTGCGAGAAACATATAGCGCAGATGCAACACCTGTCCCATAAACCAGGCGCAATACGCTTGCGAGTACTGCAGTATTTTCGATAGCGCTATGGTGAATAGTAACCCTACAAGCATGATGAAATTGATTTCAGACTCTTGTGGCCAGTTGCTCTTCGAAGTTACACGCCTGAAACGTGTTTCGCTTGTTATAGCTTTCAACGGCGGGCTGGCGATCGTATCCAGCAGCATAGTAGAGCTTTTCTTTGACAATAGCGCCGATTCCGTGGACATGCCCTCGTAGTAAGATTCGTCGTTAAAGGAGCGGGAGGAGTTTTTCGATATAGAATCAGTGCGTGACGATGTCTTGTAATGTACGCCCGCATTGCGTTCTGAATTTAGTATATCTGTGTCGTTGCTATCGCTTTCGTCTGGTGAAATCTTTGGCGTATGATTCTCATGCAACGTTATGCGTTTCGATATATTCTTCCAATGTTTAGTGGTACCATTTAGTAAAACAGGCGTCATGGGGGTTAAGGTGTCCGAGCTCTTCGAATTGTTAATAACATTGCCATTTCGAGTGATTGTTTCGGCGTTGCCATTTTTGTAAAATCTAAAGCCATTTTGACTTATTAAACTATTCCTTATATCGTTGAGATCCGCTTGTGCTTTGCGATTATCACGATTATCGCTCAGATTACGCGGTTTTAGTCGATCGCTGAAGCCTTGCGCATAACCGTTATGCGCTTCGCTGGTTTGCTGATTTCTTTCGTTGTGATGCAGTTTGGTGCCGCCAAATTTCATTTGCAAATTTAGACTTTCCGAAGTGTAAGGTTTATGTTGCGTTTGCATGTCAATTTCTTCGCAGGTTTTAAGCGTTCCTTCGTCGTAGACGTCAGCATTGATGTTATGTTGGTAAGGCTCACTTAGACGCTGCATAATACACAGATATGCAAGCTTGAAATTTACTTGAATCTATCAACTTGTGTTAGAAACTTTTCGTTAATTTTTTCATTTATATCAAAATTTATGAAATATATACAAAAGGGAAGTGCGTTGAATTGAAAAAAATATATAATCAGCAGCAAAACAAAGTGGAAGTTTACAGGCAAAAAGCGACCTACTAAAGTTGAAAGTATTTAGACACTTGCATTCTTCAGAAATGGATTCGTTAATAGCCGTATATGCCGTGGTAGTATTCACGGAAATGTAGTAAGTCTTCATACTTCTTACTACTCCTTACAATAGTTGTTCGAAAATTAGTTAAACCTATCAAAGTTGTAGGTGAGAAACGATAATCGTTTCCTAATATTATAGAGAGGAAGATTTCCAAATCCTCCATACACAAAAATAATTTGTTTTTGTTTCAGAAATTGTTCCCGAAGCGATTAGTTGTTATCTGTTAAGCTGAAGCAATCAAATCCAACAGATCATCGCTCTCAGAGGAATCATACAAGTTTCAACAGACCCGTTGGCTTTTCCAGTGAGTCAAAGTAAGCTGTGGTAAGGTAATAAACAATAACTACTTAAATATTTTGATACAGAGGTGGAAAGTTCGTATCGTTTCTTTGAGAAGACGCCACCAAAATTGAACCTTTAGGTTTTGTAGTTGGATCTGACTTTCAAGCACAATTATAGCATAGAGTGGAGTATGTTTGAAAATGTGGAAAGACGTAGAAGTATCTTGGCAGACTTATTGCATTTACTTATATTTGGGAAAGCGCATCTAACCTCGATCCTATGACCAAAAAATGGGTACAGTCGATTTCCAAAAGCTGTTCTTCTAAAAATTTGTATCGGTAAAATCATTTGCCATAGATAGGAAGAGGCAGTAATGTCTTGATACCAGGTTCAAACTATAAGGTTGCCTATTATGGTTGGTTCCAAGCCTATGGAGCTTGTGGCGAGTCACAACCGATATACCTCACCTAGTCCTTGATGGAAACCACAACTAGAAAGAGAAGAGTTGATAAAAGCCGATCGCTGCTGGGCGATTGATTCTCTCAGACAGTCCAAGTACAGGCCCGAATTAAGATTTCAGCTGTAGGGGAGCAGCTCCTAGGTGATAGTTTACAAACAAATTATCAGAGAAATTCCTTAGTACGAAATGTTATATTTTAAATGCTATATAGTGTAACCCGACCACACTTATACAACGAAAGCTTCATATTACTAAACCCACCGCTTGGAAAAATAGTGGTATCCCAACCAAGTTTTAAACCGACTCTGAACAACTGATGCACTTCATATGAAGCTATTATTAATGTCAGGATTGGTATCGCAGATAACCGGTCTTAAGTTTAGAATTTCGCTCTCACCGAGCGATCCATATATTCAGCGCGCAATAACAAAAGCGGCTGAATTTAAAGAGAATACTTTTGAAAAAACCTTTTATTAAATTTCGATAAACAATGGGTGATCCGTGTAGAGTTACTTTTGTGTGAGTTGTGTCAGCTGTTCTATTCGTTCAGTATTGTTTGACATTTCATCATGGAAAGACATCCTTTAACTTTATTACGAAAATTCGC